GGCATAGCTGGAAATTCTCCCATTCCTTAAGTCCAGCGTTTGCTCTGCTGACATTTTTCTTTGCTATGCAGAAGTTTTTTTACACTTCATGTAATCTCTTTTGTTGGTTCTTGGGATTATTTCCTGTGGAGTTCTTGCCTATGTGTATATCTTGATGTATTTTCTTGAGCTGTTTCAGATTTTTTAGGATTTAAGCTAAAACTTTGATCCATTTTGAGCTGATATTTTTATGTAGGTTGGGCTAGGAATCTGGTTCCCTTATTACGAGGATTGTTAGCTAGTTTTGCTAGGATCATTTCTTGAACTGGCTTTTTTCCCCTGTATGTGATTTTGAATGTTTGTCAAATATTAAATGACCATATCTGTGGGTATGTTTCTGGCTCCTCTGTTCTGTTGCATTGTATGTCTGTTTTTCATGCCTGTACCAGACTGACTTTTTTCACTATGGCTCTGATTTAGAATTTGAATCAGATATTGTGATACTTGTAGCAGTGTTTTTGTTTATGAAAGTTTTAAGGCATCTATCTATCTATCTATCTATCTATCTATCTATCATCTATCATCTGTCTATCTATTTGCTATTTCTGTTTTCCTGTGTTTCCAAAGGAACTTTTGAATATTTGGGAGTTTTTCTAGTTCTTTGCATAAGTGGAATTTTGATTGTGATTGTAATGAACCTGTATACTTTTAGAGATGTAAACTTTCCCCAGTCTACTCTATTAAGTCTGCCAGTCCATGAGCACACAGAAAGTCTTTTAATTTCTAGTATCTTTAATTACATTGCTTTCAATGTCTTAATGTTTTCATTGTCAAGATCTTTTCTTTCCTTGACTGAGTTTATACTTAGCTACCTTATTTTTATTTAATTGTTAATTTTTGGAACTAACGCGAATGGGACATTTTTCTGAATTTGTTTCTCGACAAGTACAATATTGGTAAAGCTACTGATTTTTGTATGTTTATTTTGTATTCTGAAACTTTACTAAAAGTGTTTATCTGATATAAGATGCAGTTTGTAGGCTTTTTAAAGGATGTCATCTCTGAATAGGGACAATTTGAATTTTTATTTTCTGTTTTATTATTTTTATAGCTTCTGCTTATACTATTGCTCCTGATAAGACTTGGGGCACCTTGTTGAAAACAGTGGAGAGATTGAGTAACCTTGGCTTGTTCTGGATATAGGGAGAAATAGTCTTAATTTTTACCAATTTACTATGGCAACAGCTATATATATTAGAGGCATATAACCTCTATTATTTGATTTATATTCCATATATTCTTAATTTCTTCAGAACCTTTACATGAAAGAATGTTAAACTTTATCAAGTGTCTTCTCTGCATCTGTTAAGCTGTTTACGTGATTTCTGCCCTCAAACTTATTTATGTGGTATATTACACTTACCGATACATGGTTTGCACCAGACTTGGCTCCCTGGGATGAAACCATCCTAGTTATGCCACTGGGTTTTCTCAAGGTGTTCTCAGATTTGATTTGCTAGAATTTTGCTGGGAGTTTATACATCTGTGTTCATCAGGGAAACTGGCCTGTGAGTTCTTCTGTGTTTCTTTCCTCTTGTCACATCCCTATCCAGTTTTGTATCAGGGTAATGATTGTTTTGTAGAATGAGTTTGGTAATGCTCTTACTTTTTATACTTTGTGAACCAGTTTCAAAAGTGTTGGTATTGGCTCTGCCTTGAAAGTTCGACAGAGTGCAGCATAGTATCTATCAGCCCTGGGTGGTTCTTTGTGGAGATGTCTTAGTTGCTTTTCCCGTGACTGTGATGATAAAAATACCCCGACAAAATCAACTCTGTGAAGAAGGGGCTAATTATTTTGATTCACCTTCTCAAATACAAAGTCTTGTCTTCCATCTTAATCTTATATCACACCTACTTTCATGAAACAATCTTGGTGAAAAAAGGCCCTTGCTCTACGGAGCCTCTCTGGGCAAGAGGGGGAGAGGAAGAAAGAGTAGGCAGGCAGGGTGGCCTGTTGGGAGCATGACTGGGCTACAGTGCACAAAGCAGTACTGAGTGCCTGACTGGGGACTTTCCTCCAGCTTTGACCAGAATAGGAGCTTTTCTTAATATTTCTCAGATCGACAGCTGGGAGGCCAGCATGGGACTGATCCAGACCCCCTGAATGTGAGAGTCAGTGAGGAGGCCTGGGCAACCTATGGGGTCCTGAGCAGTGGATCAGTGTTTATCCCTTGAATACTAACAGACATCGTGTGTCCATAACACAAAGAGGCATGCTCTCTCAGCCTGGACTCTTAGGGGAGTGCCTGGACCCTACCCTGAGTGAAATGACAGACTCTAGATATCCCCTATGTGGAAGGAATTGGCAATAGGGTGGGAGGATGGGGGGGGTGGTGGGGGGCGCGGGAGGAGGAGAGGGAGAGGGAACTGGGATCGACATGTAAAACAAGCTATTTAAAATTAAAATAATAAAAATATTTCTCTTTTACAGAACCTGTATCAATTTTTTTTGACTTGATAGAAAAAGATAGATAAACTTTGTAAATTTATCTAATTTACAAAAGATAGATATTTTGTAAAGGTTCCTTCTAAATGTAACAAATTGTGCACTTTTCTTAATAAGAGTGTAAAATTAGACACAGAGCCTTGGTCTTGTTGTTCTGGCCATTCAGACCCATAGCTACTCTGTGATGTGAATGTGGAGTGTGGGTGTTTGTGTGTTGTGGAGGTCAGAAGGCAACCTCAGGGGCTGGCACTCAGTGCATCTGGTTCCCAACAGGGAGTGCTGGGCTAGCAGGCCCTAAGGAGGGGGTGGTATTCTCCTGTCTCCATATCCATCTTACCCTAGGAGTGCTAGGCTACAGAGGTACTGCTGCCTTGGAGCTTTATGTGTGCTCTGGGATCCCAAACCCCATCCTCACACTAGTAAAGGTAAGGGTTTTACCATTGGTACACCATTTTCCATATCCATACTCTAGGCCAGTTGATCTCTTTGTTACTGACTGCAGCATATGTGTTATCCTGTTATTGGTGTGTTTGTGTTTACATCCTTTTTATATTTTTTTCTCTTTGAATGATAGAGTTATTTGAGATTGCATAGATACATAACAAAGATATTTGTATGAGCTTTATTTAACACCATTGCATTGTGTTATGCAGTTTATTTACTTATTTTTTAAACAAAGATGCTTTATTTGTGTGTTAAGTCCACTGTTCTGGGGATAGACCCCAAAGTTAAATTTAAAAATTAAGTTTAAGAATGTGTAGATATATGAAAAAATATATGCATGCATAACAGTCAAAAAAGAGGCTATGAATTTGAAAGAAAGCAGGAAGGAGACAACTTGGGAGAGAAAAGGGCCGGAAGAAATGTTGTAGTTAAATTATAATGTCAAAAATTAAAAAGAGAACTGACATATGCCCAAGGAGACATTTACAACACAATTGGCATTGCCTTATAAACATTATTGATAATTGTGCATCATTAGATTCAACACACTGTTAAATAAATAGAATAACACCACAATCTTCCAGAGAGTCATCCACTGATCCTAATGTCTTTGGTCAATAAATTTGACCACATAGTGGTTTTTGAGGACTGACAGAGATCTCTCTTTGTACATCTGTTGGTTTTAGTTTTTTGGCTAAAAGTCAGTTTTGCCATCAGTGTCATCATCCTTCATATCATCTTGTAGTTATCTGGTGCACCCTTGTGTAGCTCTTAGCTTTTCAAATGAGGTTTATGTTAGCCATAACTCTTGAATCTGTGCATCAGTCAGCGTTTTGTTGTTGAATTTTACTTCCAATCGATTCCTGAAGAACAGCTTATGGGTATAGATTTTCTTGATATATTGTATGTTTAAAATTTATTTTTCCTATAGCTTAATACTGACAGAAAAGCTATCTGGATGTATTTTGTTCATAATGTTATTCATTGAATTTCTTGAAAATGCCTTTTTTATTGTACCTTTCTTTGTATGTTGTTTTTGAGAAGTCTGCTGCCAGCTTAATCCATGGTCCCTCTTGTAACTTATTTGATTTTTCTTTTACCATGTAGGCCTTGAGGATTTTTTCCTTACGTTTAGATATAATATTCTTGCTATGCTATGTTTTAGAATATGTTATTCAATTGAATTTCCCTTGTCTCCAGCATTCCCTTCTGATATCTAGAGTCAAGTACTTTAAAGGCACATTAATAAACTTAATTTTTAAGAATACTTTTGGGCTTAAAAAAATTGAGTGGGAAGTATTGCTGAGTATTCTCACTTTCGTCTGTCCTAGTCTCCTTATCTCCCCCCCCCATTGTCTGTATATTGTTCTAGTGTGCTACATTTGTTATAACTGGTGAGTCAACAATGGTACATTATTATCAATAAACTTTATAGTTTACAGCGGTGTTCACTTTTTTTGTGTGCTGATACATGCGTTCCATGTGTCCATTGGTTCACTGTTACGCTCTGCCCGTCATACCCTCCTCCTTACCCCCAATTCTTGACAACTACTGGTCAACTAACTGTGTCTATGGTTTTGCAAAAGTCAGATATATTTTTCGTTACTATGGTTTTTTACATATATAAACTATGCTTTTGACATATTATTTTTCTTCAGGATCTCTAATTTTATGTGTATTATGGTTTTAATGAAAAAAATGTTCCCCATAGACTCAGATGTTTGAACACTTGTTCCCCAGGATTTGGCCCTGTTTGGGGGAACTAATATAACCTTTAGGAGACACAATTTTTCTGGAGGAAGTTTGTCATTTGGCTTTGTGGCCTCATTTCCAATGCCTCTGCTCATCTCTCCAGCCCACTTAATTGCTTTTCACTTCATGTTTTATTCTCTTGATTGTTTTCCTGTTTTCAATGCCTTTAAAATATTTTCAATCATATCTCTTCCTCACTGGATAGAATTTATACATTTTATAATATGGTTTTTAAAAGACTTACTTTCTAAGTAAAATAAGGTTTTGGTTGGTGGTGAACTTCTATTGTTAGTTTTCAAATTCTAATTCAAGGTACTCACTTATATTACTGATTTTATAATTGAATATATTTCTTTCAGCTTGGAATATTTTGCTATTGATTTCCTCACCACTTTTAGGGAGAGGAGGAGGGAATTTTGCCAATAGAAGTCTCATTTTCTACCTTGTTTTTAGTAGTAATTTTGTAGACAAGGGATTTTTTTTGGTCCTTGACATTTTCTGACAAGGCTGAATTTGAGAAGATGACAAGAGACCCAGTGTAAGTCTTCCTCTTCAGTCCTCAGCAGAATGTTGCCTTCTGTCTTATGAAACGTGTCCTAGGGAGTCAAGGCAGGGAAAGGAAATCTTGTGTTAATTACTAATAGATTATTCAAAGTTTATTGATTATTAATTAATATTATTCTTTATTCTTCATTTTTGAGTCACTGAGATTAGTGCAGCTCTGTAGACTCTGAATGGTTCCTGTTTGTCTGGGAGTAAATTGAGAGGATTGCATTGACATGCTCATCATTGCTTTATTACTTAGAATTCTTCCTATTTCCCTCTGTTATTGCTTCTTCTTTCAGGCTAACTTATCTGTGGAATGTCTCTTAAAAACCAAAACCTGCTTCTTCTAGCAAACACAAACCATTCACTTTTGAATATTGCAGTTAGAAAGCAGGTTTATACACACAGACCAGGTGGAGCATCTAGTTTTGTTCTCATCTTCAGAGATTGATATCTACCTTGGGAATTTCTTGCTGTTCCTACTACTACATCTTAATGGTCTCAAAGGCAAGAGTCAGTTTCTTCCTGCTAGTGATGTTACATGAAGTGCTCATCAAACCTGGAGTTAGTTTACAGATTTAACATTAAGGCTAGCTAGGACTATAATTCAGTCGTATGTATCATGGCTTTACTATCCAGTCCTAAAAGCAATCAATCAATCAATCAACCAATCAATCAAACAAACAAAAGGATAAAATTCAGGCTCTGTGTAGTCTTTGGGTAGTTTTCTGAGTAGAATTTTTTTTGTTCAACTACCTGCAAATGTACAGACATAATTTGATTTCTAGGTTGAGCAGAATAGTTGCAAAAGACCTTCACAGTACAGGTTTCGAATGGAAATCTCAATACATTATTGTATTGTTTGATACTAGCGAATTCTACTAGTTTATCTTTATGAAAGTGGAATTATACATTATGATGTGGTAAAAAGGTTCTGGATTTTAAATGACAGGCATTGGAGTACATGGTAACACGATGCAATGATATTTCTAATTTACTACAGGGCTCTTGAGGAAATACAGCATATGCTCATCTTACTGACTCAAGAGAATGGATGATCATCACTATCATCAGGACTTTGAGTAGTATTTTTCCTACATTCATGATTGCTTTAACATAGTAAATATGCTTAAGGTTATATAATTGGGTGATTTGCAAGAGGTTACAAAAAAGACATGGATTTTTATGCCACTCAGAATGACCAAGATTAAAAGAAAATAACAACTCATTCTGGCAAAGATGTGGGGAGAGGGAAACATTTACTCATTCCTAGGGAGAGTGCAAAGTCATATAGCCACTGCAGAAATCAGCATGGTAATTCCTCAGGAAGCTGGAAAGCGATCTATATGGAGATCCAGTTAAACCATTCTTGTACATATACACAAAGGATTCTACACTCTACTACTGAGACATTTGCTCATCCATGCTAATTACTGCTCTATTATTTATTTATTGCAGTTACTCCAAAACTTATTTTGGAAAATATTATATTTGGAAAACGGGAAGCCTCCCAGGGCATTCCTTTACCTTAGAATATATGTAAACACAAGGATATTTTGAGGTTTTTTTTCCTGATCAAAAGTTATAATCTGTACAAATAGAAACATAAAATTGCCTTAAATACATTAGTTAAGGACTCTGGGACTTTACAAAACTCCTACAGGGTATTAGTTGGGAAGTACAGGATAGAGGCTACAATTCTAACCCACCAAAGCAAAGTTTAAGTCACCTTTGCATCTGTTCACACTTGTTGGCTCTTGTACATTTCTCTTCCAATCACTGACCTTCTTTGCTTCAAGCCCTGTTTCCCTGATTGCAAGAGGCAAAGCAGCCTGAGTCCCAGAGTGTGACATATCTAAACCCAGAAGCCAAACAATGTCCATATTTCTCCCTTAAATCCTCTTCCATCCCTTTTCTTTTTGATTTTATAATGGTAAATCTTCAGAAAGAGAGAGCCAAGGGCCTGATATACTTACTGGTGCACCTCATTCTTTTAGGTGGCTCAGCTCCCAGTGATTATGACGTGTTTTCAGTGGCTACAATATAAGCAATACTGGCAAGATAGGAGGGGATGGCCTTGGGGAAAATGGGTTGGGGTGACCAATGGAGTGCAGTCCTTCTTGAGTGTTCTTTAGTCTTTGAAATTTGATAAGTGCTTAAGTTCAACATTGTTCATCATTTGTTTACGAGAGCAGAAAATCCAAAACTGTGGCGAGGGTAAGGGGAGGGAGAGAGAGAAAAAAACAGGAGGACATGTTTTTAAAAAATGTTTTAAATATATTTTTTTAATTTTTATTTTTAAATTTAGATTAGAAACAAGGTTGCTTCACATATCAAGTCTGGGTCCCTCTGCCTTTCCCTCCCCTACTCCCGCGCACTCCCACCAATCCCCCCCAATACCCCTCATTTCCCCAGGGAGGGTGAGGCTCTCCATGGGGGTGTCTATAGTCTGTCATTTCATCCAGGACAGGGCCTAGACCCTCCCCCAAGAGTCCAGGGTGAGAGTGCATCTCTCATTGTTGGATGGGCACCCAAAGTCCATTTGTATACCCGGGATCAATACTGATCTACTACCCAAGGCTCAATAGGTTACCTAGGCCTCCTCATTGATACCCATGTTCAGGGGGTCTTGATCAGTCCCATGCTGGAATCCCAGCCATCAGTCTGGGATTCAAGAACTAACCCTTGTCAGGTCTAGGGGTTAAACCAGCCCAGTCTTAACCCCTTTGCTCATCAGTCCTCCCTCTCTGTCACTGGGTTTCTTGAGTTCAGTTCAGTGTTTAGCTGTGGGAGTCTGCCTCTGCTTCCATCAGCCATTGAATGAAGGTTCTGTTTTCCAGACTCTCTGGCAGTGGGATTGTAGGCTGGCACTCCCCAGATCTATGTCTAAAATCAGGAGGAAGTATTTTAACTGACAGCAATAATTGCCAATGGGAAAGGAAGTGTAATGAGACGGGAGATGGAGGCAAAGAAAGACTCCTGGACAGTCGGCCCAGTGTTACACATTAGTCCAATAAAACCAGCCAGGAAAGACGAGGGAAGTAGTTCAGGATTAGAGAACCTGGCTAGCATACAAGAAGCCCTATGTTCAATCACCGCCACCACCACCACCACCACACACACACACACACACACACACACACAGAGAGAGAGAGAGAGAGAGAGAGAGAGAGAGAGAGAGAGAGAGAGAGAGAGAGAGAGAGAGAGGGAGCTTTTGATCAGAAAAATAATCATTGCCCTACCCTGAGTGAAATGACAGACTCTAGATATCCCCTATGTGTAAGGAATTGGCAATAGGGTGGGAGGCTGGGGGGGTGCGGGGGGGTGCGGGAGGAGGGGAGGGAGAGGGAACTGGGATTGACATGTAAAACAAGCTATTTAAAATTAAAATAAAAAATTAAAAAATAATCATTGCACATTAAAACTAAAAATTCAAATAGTATATAGGAATGACACAAAGTCAAAGTTAAAATTTCTTTTAACTGCATTATCATCCAGAAATAGTTCTTATTTTCATGAATGCTGCCAGTTGTTTTGGAGTATATTTACATTTTCCCTCAGATTTAATTTATGATGTTACTTTAGACTTACTATTTTTCATTTGGCTTTTCTTGGCTACGGTTTTTATTTAAAAACATTATTTTTCATTTTACATACCAACCCCAGTCCCTTCTCCCCCACTTCTCCTGTCCCCTAGTTTCTTCCTTCCCATCCTCAATCTGCTCCTCAGAGGGGGTAAGGTCACTGGAGCTCTTTGGGGAGTCAGCAAAGCAAGGCATACCAAATTGAGGAAGGACCAAGCCCCTCCCCTCATATCATAGCTGAGTGGGGTATCCTTCCATGAAGAATGGGCTCCAAAAAGTCAGTTTATGCACCTGGGATAGGTCCTGGTGTCACTGCCAGTCCCCCCCCTCAACAGATCAAGTCACATAACTGTCACCCACATTCAAAGGGCCTAGTTTGGTCCTATGCAGGTTCCCCAGCTGTCAGTCCTAGTCCATGAGCTCCCACTAGCTTGGGTCAGCTGTCTCTGAGGATTTCTCCATCATGCTCTTGATCCTCATTGTTTCTATGATCCCTCCTCCCTCTCTTCAATCAAACTCCAGGAGCTCAGCCCATGCTTGGCTGTGGGTCACTGCATCTGCTTCCATCAGTTACTGGATGTGGGTTCTATGATGACAACTAGGGTAGTCACTAATCCAATTAAAGGGGAAGGCCCATTCAGACATACTTACCACGATTGCTAGGAGTTTTATCTGGGATCATTCTTGCAGATTCCTGAGAATTTCTCTAGCACCAGGTTTCTTCATAACCCCATAATGGCTCCCTCTATTAAGATATCTTTTTCATTGTCCTCCCCCTTTAACTCTCCCCCTACTTGATTGTTGAACAAACTATAAAAACGCAGAGACAGATATTGGGGTTCAAGCTGAAGATCAGAATAGCAAAGCAGCCAATCCACTAGAGAGCTCTTACCTCTAAGAAATCTCCAGTCTGCACTCTTCCTCACCAATCTCAGACTGATGCCTGAGACTGCACTGAGCTCCAGCTCTCTAGTGCTGGAATTAAAGGTATGAGCTCTATCTCTCTTTTAGACTGATTCACTCTCATGCAGCCCAGGGTGGCCTTGAACTCACAGAAATCCATCTGCCTCTGTCTCCTGAGTCCTGGGATTCTATGACTTGTGGTTAGCTTTGCATTCTGACCTCCAGGCAAGCTTTAGTAGATTATAAACAATATATCACCACAATTCCCCTTTAATGTCTAATACAAAAAGAAGGCTATAACTAATAAAACCATGTAAAATAACTATATACAATCTATACAGACAATAAGTACATCAACAATGTCTAGTCCATTTGCATTTGACAGATTTGGAGAAAATACTCCATTATCTATCTTATCTTGGTGAGTTCAAAAAATCTTCTACCTAATTTACTTTCTAATTTGAATTATTGAATTATCTTCTAATCTCTCCCAAACTTTTACACTTTATGCCTCTTTAGCGAGTCTCTTTTCTGAGTCTGGTAAACAAGGAGAACTATAATTATCTAGTTTTCAACTTCCTCAGGGACCCAATAAGGAAATAATACTAACTGAGTAAACAGAAAGTGGGAGCAAGTGACTACCAAAAAATGTGAGAAATGACAAAAACAGCTGGCTGCCTGGAAAGTCATCCAAGCTTCTTCTGCAACATTGTGGCATTCATCTTTGGCCTACAAGCCTAGAATATCAACAGACTTTTCTATGAAGCAGGTTTTTTGAAGAACTGTCCCATCTTGTCTTGATAATGGTTGACAGTCATGTAAAGAGAAGCTTTTTCTTTGAGAGAAGCCTTCCCGCCAGCCTGGTTCTAGAGCCGCATCAGTCCCAAATAAACACACAGGAGGCTATATTAATTATGAAGCTGTTGGCCTTGCTTGTTTCTTACTGGCTAGCTCTGACTTAAGTAATTACCCCATAGTTGTTAATCTAAGTATGTTTCTTACCGGGCTTCCTACCCAATGGCGTTACATGTTGACTCTCTTTGTGTTTCTCCTTCCCAGAATCCTCCTGGACTCCTAGTCCCTCCTATCTAGATTACTATTGGCTCAACAGTGCTTTATTGACAAAAGACTTCTCCAACACAGTCACTCTCAGTCACTCTCTTTCATGTCCTGCTTGTGCTGTTCTTCACCCCTTTCGCTTCTATAGTCCTTCCTCCCCCTCCTTTACAGGTTTCCCTGAGCTCCTCCTAATATTTGGCTATGTCTCTGTACTTGCTCCCATCAGTTGCTGAATGAAGCTTCTCTGATGATGACTGGACTAGGCACCAACCTATGAGTATAGCAGAATATGATTATGAATCATTTCACTGAATTTCTTTTTGCCAGTTGTGTTTGGTTCTCTTCTGGGTCTTTGGGATATCCAGCCTCTGGTTCCTTATCAGAATACATTGTATGAAAAGTATTTTTTTATTTAGATTAGAAATAAGCTTGCTTCACAAGTCAATCTGAGCTCCCTCTCCCTTCCCTCCTTACCCACCCCACCAGTCCCTCCAACCCCCCAGTCCCCACTCTACTCCCCAGGGAGGGTGAGGCCCTCCATGGGGGATCTCCAGAGTCTGTCATTTCATCCAGGGCAGGGGCTAGGCCCTCCCCTATGTGTCCAGGCTGACAGAGCATCTCTCAATGTGGAATGGGTTCCCAAAGTCCATTTTTATGTCAGGGATAAATACTGATCTAGTACCCAAAGCCCTATAGATTGGCTAGGCCTCCTCACTGACATCCAAATTTAGGGGGTCTGGATCAGTTCCATGCAAGCCTCTCAGCCATCAGTCTGGGGTCCAAGAGCTCCCTCTTATTCAGGTCAGCTGTCTCTGTGGGTTTCACCAGCCTGGTCTTGACCCCTTTGCTCATCACTCCTCTCTCTCTGCAACTGGGTTCCAGGAGTTCAGTTCAGTGTTTAGCTGTGGGTGTCTGCCTCTGCTTCCATCAGCCACTGGATGAAGATTCTAGGATGACATATAAGGTAGTCATCAAACTCATTATCAGGTAAGGGTATTTAAGGTAGCCTCTCCACTATTGCTTAGTTTGCCAATTGGTGTCATCCTTGTAGATCTCTGGAAATCTCACTAGTGTCAGATTTCTACTCAAACCTATAATGATTCCCTTTACTATGGTATCTCTCATCCTGCTCTCTATTCTTACCCTGACTCAACTATCTTGCTCCCTCATGTTCTCCTTTCTCTTCCTCTTCTCCCCCTCTCTTTTTCCCAGCTCCCTCTCCCCTCTCCCCATGTTTCCAATCTGCTCAGGAGATCCTTTCCCATTCTCCTTCTCTGGGGTACCATGCATATCTCTCTTAGGGTCCTCCCTGTTTCCCAGGTTCTCTGGCAGTGGGATTGTAGGCTGCCATTCCTCTGATCTATGTCTAAAATCCATATATGAGTGAGTATGTACCATTTTTATCTTTTTGTGACTGTGTTACCTCACTCAGGATGGTTTCTTCTAGTAACATTCATTTGACATCAAATTTCAAGGTTCCATTGTGTAAATGTACCACATTTTCTCTATCCATTTTTCAGTTGAAGGGCATCTAGGTTGCTTCCATGTTCTGGCTATTACAAATAAAGCTGCTATGAACATAGTAGAACGAATGTCCTCATTGTGTGAATGTGCATCTTTTGGGTATATGTCTAAGAGTGGAATTGCTGGATCTTATGGT